CCTTTCTTTTTCAAGGACACGGCAGCTCCATCTTGCTTTCAAGTCAAGCTACCTCGTTGGAAAATTGAATCTACCCGCCCAACCCCAGCCCGACCTCCCTTCTCTTTCTCTCTGCACATTCAACTTGAATGACCAGCCGATACTCCATCCTATTTGAATTAAAAACATGTAAGAAACCGTTTGTTTAGTTTCACGCAAGTTATTTTTTTGAGAAATATTTTTTAAATTTTATTATGTTTATTTACAATTAAAAAAATTAATCAATAAAAAATATTTTTCAGATTATTTTTTTCTATTTTGAATAAAAAATATTTTTTTAAAATTAAAAAAATTGAAAAAATATATTGTTATTGTTATTTTATTTTGATTTTTTTAAATGTGTCCCATAAAATTTGATTTTATTTTATTTTTATGTCAATTTTAGTTATTATTTTCAATATTTGTTTTTATTTTATAATTTTTTAATTAAAATTTTTTATTTATTATATCTGGTTTTTATTTTTTTATTGATATTTATTTTATTTAAAATGAATTATAATTTTTTTCAATTTCACTACTTTTTAATTTTTTATATATAAGAATTAATCTTAATTTTTTTATTTGTTATTTGTTTTATTTAAAATAATCTATAATTTTTTAATTTTATCATCGCTTAATTTTTTATCTATATTTGATTTATCTGTTTTTTAATAAATTTCAAAAGTAAATTATTTTTCAATTTATTTTTATGAAATAACCAAATATTTAATAATTTTTTTCACCTTATTTTATATTAAAAAATCCAATAAAAAAACATTAAATATGTGATAAATGGATAACATGGCCTGTGATCTAAATAGCTACAGTTGCATATAAAACATTGCCGCGGGACCCATCTCACCATTTCCCCACTCCCTTCCCTATATAACCACTCCCTCTCCGGCCCTTTCCGAAATTCCTGTAATAATATTCCACTTCAAATCAGCGATCTTTACGAGGCCAAAAACAAGAGTTGTAGATTCCATTTCTAGTTAGTTATATCCCATCTTTAACATTTTGATTCTATTTCGTGTTTCCTTTATCATTTAATTACAGGCACTCCTCGTTTACATCGAAAATGCGTTTCAACACTAAGTTTTGTTCTTCGCCATATCGTTTCAAAGGTTTACTTTGTTAAATTTCGTGCTCGTTCGGACTCAAAGAGATCCGAAAAGTGTTGTTTGGCAACTGAAGAGATTCTGAATATGAACGACATTTCGTTTTTATAGTTTTCTCTCACCTGTTAAGGATCTGTTTGTTTGGTAGGTTTATTCTGGTGCATGTTTATTTTAAAGTTCGGTGTGGTGGATACTAGTTTAACATTAGATATGCATTTTGTAATGCATGGATTTACCGTTTGTTCTTTTGTTGTTGTAATTGGCAACATCATTAAAGTGCAATTAAAACACATTTTGCTTCCTTCTGTTATTATTCCTATAAACTGAGGGATGTATTTATTGTTTGATAACAGGCCAGTTTGGTGTTTTGTACACTATGGCAACTGGACAACTCTTCTCTCGGCCAACACAAGCTTTGTTTTACAAGTACAAGCAGCTGCCTATTCAACGCATGCTTGATTTTGATTTCTCTGTGGCATGTTAATTTTTTTATTGTTATTTTTTATCAAGAGAGTGAGAGTTATACATTGAATTGGATCTTTTCTTCTTATTATTTCTTGGATTATTGAGCGCGTTGAATGCCATTTTTTATTATTCATTTATCGTTTGTTGTGTTTACAGGGAGGGAATTACCTTCAGTAGCTGGAATTATTAACCCTGGCACTGAGGGGTTTCGGAAACTCCTTTTCGGTCAAGAGGAAATTGCAATCCCTGTGCATTCGAAGTAAGCTTTGATTTTCTTTTCTCTGTTTCTTCATTCCTTTCACTTGTTTTGTTTCTTGTTTCACGAGTCATTGCATGATTTGTGCACCCGGTTGTCGATTTTGGAAGGGTTTGTTAGTTATGGTGCAATAACAATCAATTTGGTTTGATTTGGTGAGGTTGAGTAGGGTGTGACACTATTGGATCACGATCCATGTCAAAATTACATCCAACTCTTAAGATACTTTACCCTTTGGTGAGCCGGTTCATTTGAGCATCAACTCCTTGATTGCAAGACTTAGGTCTACTCAAATGTGATTGGATCATGAGCTGTTGAATGTGGATCGTGTGCTGGTTTTGTTTTTAGTTTTATAAGCCAGTTTGTGATTCAAGTACCAGTTCTGGAATGGTTGCTAGATAGTTGTGATTAGAAAACAGTTCATCTGATTCATTTTGGTGAGGTCGAGTAGTTTACGATACTACATCATGAGTATTATTCAGATTACATTCAGCATGTATTATATTTCGCTATTCTGTATGACGGTTCATTAGAACGTCAAAATTGACCACAAGACTTTAGTCTAGGTCTGACTCCAATTTGATTACATGATTAGTTGCTGAATATAGATCAGGGAGTGTTCGCTTTGGGGTCACAAACAATTGTT